CCCCCCATTCTGCCTGGTGGAGTGATCAGAAATTTCGTTTTGTTTTGCCGAATGGTTAAATGGACCTTGTGTTCTTCAGAATCAAAGAGGAAAGCCCCTGGAATAACATCTCTCTGTTGCCTTCTAAACAGCCCCTTTGTTTCCAAGAGAGCCTGAAAAAAAAATATTTACAGTCCATAGGTTATTTACAGCCTCGTTATCCAGGGGCCTGAACTGGTAACTTTATTCCACCCAGAAACCTAATTCATTTGGAACCCTGGAACTAATAACAGATTTTCTTTTCAGATAAGTTTTTTTTTTTTTTTCCTTCTTTCCTAATCTGCCTCTTACAACAGAGATAAAACTATTAATGCGCTCCCTGTTTCGCTCGGGATGTGCAGGAGGATTAAAATCTCCTCTCCTCGCCCCTCCTCCCCGCGCCACACGGACCCTTCCCCTGCCCGCGCCGGTCCGTCCGCAGACCGTCTGAACAAAACCGGGAGGCGGCCAGATGGACGGACGCTGGAAGTACGGACAGGCTGCTCTCCCCCACGATTTCCCGATGGAAACAGCCTCCGACGCGAAGACGCCAAGAGCAGGCCCGCCTGGGTTTAAAACCCTCCTGCGACGAGCACCCAAAAAACACACACACACACCGCGAAGTGCAAAAAACTTAGTTGGTTCTGGTTTGGTTTCTGGGCTGGAAGCTGACAGCACGGACGCGAAGGGAAAGCGGAGACGGGGAGGGCGGGGGGACCCCGAGCGCCCCCCTCCGCCCCGCGTCTCCTTCCCTCGCGGAGACGGTCCCAGCAGGAGAAACGCCCCGCGGCCGGGGGAAGGTGCACCCCGCGCGCGGGCGCACCCCCAGAGCCCCGAGAGCACCGCCTCGGCCGCCTCCCCCGACTCGGAACCTCAACGACGCTTCCCGGCACAGACGCTCCTGCGGGGAGGTGTGGGTCTGTTTCATTGTTCTGCCCGGGACTTTTCCTCTCGGCCCCCCTTCCCCTCGCCTAGCCCCCCAAGACCCGAGGCTCGCGAAGAATAAAGGAGCGCGGGGCGGGAGCGCAGGGCAGTGGGCAGGGAGCTGCGAGGACGCGCGCAGG